TGTGTGTGTGTGTGTATGTAGGACAGGGCTTTGTGATTCAAAGAACAGAAAGAAATAAATGGGAAAATCAAACAAACACCAATGACCTGGGAAATCCTTTATATGGCCGGTTGGGGCATGCTGAGGTATGAAGTAAGTGAACAGGCCTATTGGAAAGCCCAATGCCATGAAGCAGCAGCACCAGGGCTCAAACCAGCACAGGAGAAATATCCACAAAGTTTACACCTAACATGGGAAAGCAGACCCTACTGTGATGTGAACATTCATTCCCATCCTTCTTTTTCCTTCCCAGCTTCCACTAGTGGCGAGGAAAACAAAACATTCACTTTCCCAGTAGTGTGTGTGTGTGTGTGTGTGTGTATGTGTGTATGTATGTATGAGAGAGAGAGAAACAGAAAGAGAGAGAGAGAGAGAGAGAGAGAGAGAGAGAACAGGGCCTTGCTCTGTCATCCAGGCTGGAATACAGTGACACAATCATGGATAATTGCAGCCCCGAATTACTGGGCTCAAGCAATCCTTGAGCCTCAGTCTCCACAGTAGGTGGAACGACAGTGTGTGCCACCCAGCATTCTTTATAACATGGTTCTGGTCAGTGATATGTAAGATGAAATGTGCTAGCGGCTTCTGGGAAAGTTGTTATGGCTTCCAGATAAAAGGGACAGACACAGCTGGAGTCTCCCTTCTTGTCTTGAACACAAAGCTTCAAACTGCAGTAACTGTCTTGTAACCATGAAGGAAAGGTCAGCAGCCATCTGCTCTCATATATAAAAATCATGTTTACATAAGCACTGTTACTTAGGTATTCTGTAAACTGATCAACTCTTTCTAACCTTTACTTTCTACACCAAGTAGAAAAGAGATCAAGATTAGGGTGGAATAGGCTCCTGAGAACAGCCTATTCCTGAGGGCTTCCATTCCTGACAGTGCCAGGGAGGGTCTCAGAGGGAAAGCACCAGGGTGCTGCTCTTGCCCCATTTCTTCCTGGTTATTCTATACACAAACTGGAAACCTAGAGCCACTTTCTATAGCAATTCCTTTTATCTAAACCCCATAGGAGCAGGGCATGGTGGCTCATGCCTGTAATCCCAACACTTTGGGAGGTCAAGGTGGAAGCACTGCTGGAGCCCGGGAGTTTGAGACCAGCAACACAGTGAGACCCCATTTCAGTTTGTTGTTGTTGTTGTTATTTGAGACAGTCTCGCTTTATCGCCCAGGATGGAGTGCAGTGGAGTAGTCTTGGTTCACTGCAACCACTGCCTCCGGGGTTCAAGCAATTCTCCTGCCTCAGCCTCCTGAGTAGCTGGGATTACAGGCGCACACCACCATGCCTGGCTAATTTTTGTATTTTTAGTAGAGATGAGGTTTCACCATGTTGGCTAGGCTGGTCTCAAACTCCTGGCCTCAAGTGATCCACCCACCCTGGCCTCCCAAAGTGCTGGGATTACAGGTGTGAGCCACCATGCCAGGCCTAGCAAGACCTCATTTCTACAAAAAATAAAAATTAGCTAGGTGTGATGATACATGCCTGTAGCCCCAACGACTTAGGAGGCTGAGGTAGGAGGATTGCTTGAATCCAGGAGGTGGAGGTCAAGGTTGCAGTGAGCTGTGATTGCGCCACTGCACTCCAGCCTGGGCGACAAACAAACAAACAAACAAACAAGTAACCAAACAAAACCTCATTTGCCCCACCCTCAAGTGCCTACATTCCTACCAATTTCTGAAAGAATCTATTTAATTCTTCCCTAAGAATAAAAAATTAAAGAAAAGATGAAAGAACAACCACAAGTCCTCTGAAAGGATTCTGTAGAAGTGTTCCAATGTACTTCCCACAATTTGGAGAGTTAACTTCAGAAACACAGAAAAAGTTGGAAGCTGTGTTGTGCTAAGGAACTTTTTTTTTTTTTTTTTTTTTTTTGAGAAGGAGTCTTGCTCTACCACCCAGGATGGAGTGCAGTGGTGCAATCTCGCCTCACTGCAACCTCTGCCTCCTAAGTTCAAGCAATTCTCCTGCCTCAGCCTCCTGAGTAGCTGGGACTACAGGCACGTGCCACCACGCCTGGCTAATTTTTGTATTTTTGTGGAGATAGGATCAGGCTGGTCTTAAACTCCTGACCTCAGATGAGCCACCTACCTCGGCCTCCCAAAATGCTGGGATTACAGGCATGAACCACCATGCCCAGCCTAAGCAACATTTTTTATTAGCGTCTTTACCTCAGCTTGACTAAGGAAACATCTTTGCACACATATGAGAGTGACTTCTCCACTCCCATCTTCCCTATATAATGGAGTACATTCCCTATATAATGGAGTCTTACCAGGGGAGTATCAAGCTGAGGGAGACATGTCCCAAAGCCTTCAGAAGAGGATAAGAATTTCTGAATGGGAATGAAAACAAGGACTAGGTATTGAGATTTCTAGAAGGTTTTATTTTCCCTGATTTTATTGTGCTATAATTTAGTAATAATCTTCTAATCTTTTTTTTTGTTTTGTTTTGTTTTGAGACCGAGTCTGGCTCTGTGGCCCAGGCTGGAGTGCAGTGGCGCGATCTCAGCTCACTGCAAGCTCCAGCTCCCGGGTTCACGCCATTCTCCTGCCTCAGCCTCCCGAGTAGCTGGGACTACAGGCGCCTGCCACCACGCCCGGCTAATTTTTTGTATTTTTTAGTAGAGATGGGGTTTCACCTTGTTAGCCAGGATGGTCTCGATCTCCTGACCTCATGATCCGCCCGTCTTGGCCTCCCAAAGTGCTGGGATTACAGGCTTGAGCCACCGCGCCCGGCCTACAATCTTCTAATCTTATATTAAGATACCAAATGGAAGGTTGATGTTTCAGAATGCATATAAATATACTTATGTTGCTCTAGTAAACAAAACATTTTAAATTAACCCTAATAATCTGTACCTTTTCTTCAAAAAATCTGCTTTCCAGTCTTCTAAGAGTCTCCTGATGTATCCGCTCTGTGTTTCTTAAATTCTCCTTCAGCTAAAATTAAAATAACAAACAAAAATGGTCAATAGAAAATAGGGTTCATTGGGCATATACTCAGAAATTATCAATAAGGAAACGTTCTCTGTTATACATTACCTCTTAATCCTGAACACACAGAAAAAAATCTGTGTTCCTGCCTCTGAGTATCAAATTTCCCTCAATCTTCTACAGATTGATAACATTAGTACAGTAGTCCCCCTTATGTGCAGTTTCACTTTTTGCAGTTTCAGATAACTGCAGTCAATGATGGTTCAAAAATATTAGGAGGCTGAGCACCGTGGCTCACACCTGTAATCCCAGCACTTTGGGAGGCTAAGGTGGGCAGATTGCTTGAAGAAGTTTGAGACCAGACTGGGCAACATGGCTAAACCCTGTCTACAAAAAATACAAAAATTAGCTGAATGTGGTGGTGCACACCTATAGTTCCAGCTACTCCAGAACTGAGGCTGAGGTGGGAGAATCATTTGGGCCCAGGAGGCAGAGACTGCAGTAAGCCCAGATTGCCCCAACCTGGGCAACAGAGCGAGATTAGTCTTTAAAAAAAAAAAAAAAAAGATGTTTTGGAAGAGAGAGAGAGAGACAACATTAACAAGACTTTCAAAATTAGTATCAACATACAAGTTTATAAAAATATCTACTATCCCATGGTATGTGGAGATGGATTTTTCATCTACCATTAGACTCCCTCAAAAATCTATAAATTAATAAAGCTTTCAAAAGATAAGTAGGCAGCACACATCACAAACCTTTAAAAGTTCATGTTCATTAAACCATAAATTCTACTAAGAAGTTATCCTAAAAACTAAAGATATAGGCCGGGTACAGTGGCTCACACCTGCAATCTCAGCACTTTGGGAGGCCGAGGCAGAGGATCACCTGAGGTCAGGAGTTCAAGACCAGTCTGACCAACATGGTGAAACCCCCATCTCTACTAAATACAAAAAAAAAAATTAGCCGGGCGTGGTGCCACATGCCTGTAATCCCAGCTACTTGGGAGGCTGAGGCAGAAGAATTGCTTGAACCCAGGAGGCGGAAGTTGCAGTAAGCCAATTGTGCCATTGCACTCCAACCTGGGCAATAAAAGTGAAACTCCGTCTCAAAAAAACAAAAACAAAACTAAAGATATAGAAAAAGATTTCATTCCTTAGATGATCCCCACAGTTTATAATAGTGAAAATTAGGAAAAAGTCCAAATGTCCAACAGCAAGCAACCAATCAATAAATTAAGATGTATCTACCCAATGGAATTCCATGCATCTATTGAAAAAATTTTGTAGAAAATGTTTAATGGCATTGAAAAATGTTCACAATATATAAAGTGAAAAATCAGATTAACAATTTATATCATGACTTCACTTTTATAAAAATAACACATAGTTATTTTTAGATGTTTCTACAGCAGAGGAAAAAAGAAACTATACAATGGTTACATGGTGTAATTATAAGGGATGGAGTATTTTTATTTTCTAATTTTATCAGCCAAACTAAATTTGCTGTAATGAGTGTTATCATTTTGTCAAAAGAAGATTAAAACTATTTTAAAAATAATAACTGCAATCTAACAACATATGCAATATATGCTTCTTCTGTTAATCAGGTATATGGAAATCATTTTTTAATTTTTCATTTCTTTCTTTTTTTTTCCTTTTTTTGGAGACAGGATCTGGCTCTGTTGCCCAGGTTGGAGTGCAGTGATTTTTTTGTAGAGATGGTGTTTTGCCACGTGGCCTAGGCTGGTCTTGAACTCCTGGGCTCAAGTGTTCTTCCCACCTTAGCCTCTGAAAGTGCTGTTATTACAGGCATGAGCCACTGTGCCCAGCCAGAAATAATTTTTTTCTTTAAAACATATCTTGAATACCTTTTGAGAATCTCAATTTAACAGTTCTCTTTGTAATTTGTATAATGAATTCTATATACGCAGTATAATTAATTTTCTTCCCTAAGGTATACCTCCTAATTTAAAATTCATGGGCCTTCACACCTGCCACAATTCTGCTACATTTGGGATTTCACAGAACCACCTTATTTTTTCCCATAATCCAATATCTTTTGAATTTTAAGTCTTCCTCAACGGCCCACTTTGAAAGGTCTGAAATCTATTTCTCCACTAGGTGGCAACACTGTTCTTAAAAAAAATTATATCATGGCCTACTTGAATATGCACAACTAGTTCTTAATTCATTTTGATTCAGAATGTATACCTGTACATAGGCTATTTTAAGAGTTTGTGAAAAGTTAATTATGTTGATTCAATCTACAGCATTTTCATATAAAACATAACTTGTATTCCTTCCAGAAAAGTTGACATTCCTTCATTTATGTTTTTAACAAAAGACTCACTCAGCATTTAAGGAAGATTGATTCAACGTTACTGTGTATCTTGTATTTCAATGAATACAAAGGACAACACTATTCATGTCTTAAATGAGTGCAATCTATTAGGGGAGATAAGATAAATGATAAATAAATGTAATATCAAGACAATATCTTTAGGTACATAAAAAGACAAGATAAAAAAGACAGAATGGGGCTAAGTGGTATAAAACAGATAGAAAATGCTATGGAAACACACAGAAAAGAAAATTATTACTTTTTTTTTTTTGAAATGGAGTTTTGCTCTTGTTGCCCAGGCTGGAGTGCAATGGTGCGATCTCAGCTCACTGCAACCTCTGCCTCCCAGGTTCAAGTGGTTCTCCTGCCTCATCCTCCCAAGTAGCTGGGATTACAGGCATGTGCCATACCAGGCCCAGCTAATTTTGTATTTTCAGTAGAGACAGGGTTTCTCCATGTTGGTCAGGCTGGTCTCGAACTCCAGACCTCAGGTGATCCACCTGCCTTGGCCTCCCAAAGTGCTGGGATTACAGGCATCAGCCACCACACCTGGCCGAAAATTATTACTTTGAAACAGGACTCTAGGGGAAGGCTTCATGGAGAACATGAATTTGAGCTGAGACTTTGAAAGACAGGTGGCTGGGCATGTGCCTTATGCCTATGAAGGCCTGAGCCACTTTGGGAGCCAGGCAGGCAGACTGTTTGGCCCAGGAGTTTGAGACCAGCCTCGGCAAGAGCGAAACCCCATCTCAAAAAAAAAAAAAAAAAAAAAAATTAGCCAGGTGTGGTGTACGTGCCTGTAAGTACTAGCTGCTGAGGAGCCTAAATAAGAGGATCACTTGAGCCCAGGGAAGTAGAGGCTGCAGTGAGCCATGACTGCACACACTGAACTCCAACCTGGGTGACAGAGTGAGACTCTGTCTCAAGAAAAAAAGAAACACAAAAAGAGGCCAGGTGTGGTGGCTCATGCCTGTAAATCCCAGCACTTTAGGAGGCCGAGGTAGCGCAGATAATGAGGTCAGGAGATCGAGACCATCCTGGCCAACCTGTACTAAACAATACAAAAATTAGCCAGGTGTAGTAGCACGTGGCCTGTAGTCCCCAGCTACTCGGAAGGCTGAGGCAGGAAGAATCCACTTGAACCTGGAGGCAGAGGTTGCCAGTGAGCTGAGATTGCACCACTGCACTCCAGCCTGGGCAACAGAGTGGAAACTCTGTCTCAAAAAAAAAAAAAAAAAGAAAAAGAAAAGATAATTTTTAATGGGCAAAGACCTACCAGGAATATATTCCAGATAAAAACAGTGTAAACAATGTAACCAAAGAGACAAGATTTCAGGATTAATGAATACCCATTTTGGGTGAATTAAAGGAATATGAGTCGGAGTGGGGTGATGTAGTAACAAGGAGATAATAATGTTCCCAGACCGGTACAGTGGTCTTGACTTTAACATTAAGGTGTGTGGACAATATTCTGTTTACAGCGGAGGAACACGAAAGACAGCTCTCTTTATTTTATTTTTTTATTTTTATTTGAGACAGAGTCTCACTCTGTTACCCAGGCTGGAGTGCAGTGGTGTGATCTTGGCTCACTGTAACCTCCGCCTCCCAGGTTCAAGCAATTCTCCTGCCTCAGCCTCTGGAGAGCTGGGACTACAGGCACATGCCACCATGCCCAACTAATTTTTCTATTTTTTAGTAGAGACAGGGTTTCACCATGTTGGACAGGCTGGTCTCAAATCTCAGATGATCCACCTGCCTCGGCCTCCCAAAGTGCTAGGATTACAGATGTGAGCCACTGTGCCCCACCTAAAGACAACTCTTGAAGGACATGATCAGAACTGTGATATTTTAGGCCAGGTACGGTGGCTCATGCCCGTAACCCCAGCACTTTGGGAGGCCGAGGCAGGCGGATCACCTGAGGCCAGGAGTTCTTGACCAGCCTGGCCAACATGGAGAAACCATCTCTCTACTAAAAATACAAAAAATTAGCTTAGCACGGTGACATGCACCTACAGTCCCTGTTACTTGGGAGGCTGAGCACCAAAATCGCTTGAACCCAGTGGGTGAAGGTTGCAGTGAGCCGAGATCGCGCCACTGCACTCTAGCGTGGGCAACACAGCAAGACTCCATCTCAAAAAAAAAAAAAAAAAAAGGAAAAAAAAACGAGAGACGTAGATAATTTTTAAAAAAGTATTTGCTGTAGCTGTGTATACAGTCTAGGACCGCTGTATGTGTATGGTAGTTTTAAATATTCTACACACGCTCTTCCCTTCAAATAATGGGAAACGAAATTCCCCAATTGCTAAGAATGTAGGGCAGCCAAGACTTAAGGATTGCCACTTTTAACTATTAATAAGTAAGAATGTATGTGTAGAAGTAATGGCTACTGTGATCTTTGAAGGCTATGTCATCAGAGAGAAAGATAGGGCTTCTGTCTAGATCGTTGCTTCAGATTAATGGCACTCTGGGTGAAAGTCATCCACCCAAGTCATGAGAACACTCAAGCCAGTTTTATAAACGAGGGCCCCCATTGCGCTAAGGCGCGTTAGTGGCTCATGCCTGTATTCTCCAGACGCACTTTGGGAAGGGAACCGGACGGTGGCCAGAACAACTTGCGAGGTTTCAGGAGTTCCAGAGCAGCCTTGAGCCAACACCGCGTGAAACCCTGACTGGCACTAAAGCAAGAATATACTTATCATTAATAGTTACCGTATACTAATCAACACAAAAAATTAGCATATAGCAGACTGGGGGTAGAGAGTTGGCGTAGAACCTGGTAATCCCAGATTACTGGGAGCGAGCCTGAGGCAGCGCCAGAATCGGCTTGAACCAGGAGGCGAGGGAGGTTGGCAGGGAGCTGAGAACACACACAGACCACAGGATCTCGCACCCTCGGGTGATGGAGTAATGACCCGTGTCTCTCTGAGACGCTTCCGTGTCAAAAAAAAAAAAAAAAAAAAAAAGGGCATAAGGAGGAGAGGTCTCCCACTAATCACCAGCACCAACTTAACACTCACTTGAGTGTGCCTCCTTGGAAGCAGATCCTCAAGCTCCAATCAAGCCTTAAGACAGATGACTGTAACCTGTGCTATACTAAAGTATTTCCTCCAGAGAAATCAGCAAATGCTACAAATCAAGACCTTTTTTTTTAACAGAGAGCTGCACACCAGTTTATATAATTTTTACCATGTGACATGCTATTTTATGCACTTTACATATATTAACTCATTTAATCCTATAACAATTCTATGAAATAGTAACTCTTATTTTATTTTACTTTATTTTTGAGACATGGTTTCATTCTGTCACCCAGGCTGGAGTGCAGTAGTGCAATCACAGCACACTGCAGCCTCAATCTCCTGGGCTCAAGTGATCCTCCCACCTCAGCCTCCCAAGTTGCTGGAACTATAGGCATGAGCTACCATGTCTGGCTAATTTTAAAAAATTTTATGTAGAGGTGGGATTTCACTATGTTGCCTAGGCTAGTCTTGAACTCCTGGCCTCCAAAGTGCTGGGATTACAGGCATAAGCCACTATGCCTGGCTGAGATACTAACTCTTACTATCCCATTTTACAGATAAGAAAACCAAGGTATAGAAAAGTTAAGTAACTTCCTATAGTTACGAAGCTGATTTCAGCTACTTGTTCCTGGCACTCACCTGTGCCACTTATTGAATTATCAGTAATGTAATAAAACTATATTCCAAGCCAAGGAAAGTAAGAGAAAGAGCACAGCAAGGTAACATAAATTTTCTGAAAGTACTCAGTGTTTCTCACCCCACTGACCCCTACCATAGAGCCTTCTAAATTTCTCTAAAACTATCATTCATCAGCCTAACCATTTTTATTTAGAAGTCTGCTACTTTTTCCCTGAGGTTTTGTAAGAACTTGTAGTTTCTTTCTTACTGAAGTCAATCCATAGGGTTACCTGCTGATAAACACAGGAGGATGTCTTGGCTGAGATTTGGTGAGTTCCCAAAGAAATCAGTGCTTAGAAAAAGAGAAGTCTAAAGTCAAGACCTTTGGCATCCAGTCTGTCTTCTCCTTTTTCTCTCAAATAATTTCTAAAATGTCAAAGAGAATTCTTTGCTGTCTCACAGGAGTAAATGTTTGTGAAGGCTTCTGTAGGCATTAAATAGTTAATTCTAATTTCCTTTTTGTAAAAAACGAATGAAACTTACATCATCTAACTCTCTCTCCACTTGGATTTTTCTCCTCTGGAATTGTCTTACTGCTTTCAGCTCTGTGTGAATCATGCCAATTTCTTTGGCTTTTTGATGGAACTGTCCCTCTAGTTCATTGATTTGCCTGGTATACTTTTGTTCCTGTATTCAAAAAAAAGGTAAACGAGTTAGGAAAAAGAACAGAAGTCCCACAGAGTCATGTTTCATTTGAAGCCTTAATCTATTTGCATATCTTCTTTGAAGAAATACCCCCTTTTATTTTTTTTCTATTTGTATTTTATTATTATTATTTTTTTGAGATGGAATCTGACTCTGTCGCCCAGGCTGGAGTGTAGTGGCGTGATCTCAGCTCACTGCAACCTCTGCCCTCCCAGGTTCAAGCAATTCTCCCTGCCTCAGCCTCCCGAGTAGCTGGGATTACAGCTGCCTGCCACCATGCCCAGCTAATTTTTGTATTTTTTAGTAGAGACAGGGTTTCACAATGTTGGTCAGACTGGTCTTGAACTCCTGACCTCAGGTGATCCACCCGCCTTGGCCTCCCAAAGTACTGAGATTACAGGCATGAGCCACCATGCCCAGCCCTCCTTTTATTTTTGCATAAAGTTTTCATTTCTGTAAAAAGATACCATTTGTGTTGAATAAGAAAAAATTTTTGAAAAGTTTCTATATAAGCTGATTGTATAGAAAGGAAAAAATGCAGATGTTTATTAAAAAGGGATATGAGAAGAGTAAATACATCTTTTATCTCTAATATAAATAACATCCCAAACTAGTTAAAATTAATTAGCTAGGAGTCAAAGGGAGAGTGGTAAATACCCCTAATAAATAAAGAGGAAGGGAGGAGGAAGGAGGAGGATGAGGAAGGAGGAGGAGGGAGAAAAGGGGAAAGAAATATAAAAGAAGAGAGGAAGAGAACAGGAGGAGGAGAGGGAAGAGAAAGTAAGAGGACAGAGAAAAGTAAGTGGGGAAGAAGGAAAGGCCAATAACAACAAACGAACAAAAGGTACTAAAATAAATGCAAATTGCCTTCCAATCTAGCTCCGAATAAGAGAAACATAAATTGGGCTGGGTGCAGTGGCTCACGCCTATAATCCCAGCACTTTGGGAGGCCGAGGCAGGTGGATCACGAGGTCAGGAGTTCGAGACCAGCCTGGCCAACATTGTGAAACCCCACCTCTACTAAAAATACAAAAATTAGCCGGGTGTGGTGGCAAGTGTCTATAATCCCAGCTACTCATGAGGCTGAGGCAGGAGAATCAATTGAACCTGGGAGATGGAGGTTGCAGCTGGGAGGTGGAGGTTGCAGTGAGCTGAGATTGCGCCATTGCACTCCAGCCTGGGTGACAGAGCAAGACTCCGTCTCAAAAAAAGAAAAAAAAAAAAAAGAGAGAAATGTAAATTGAAATGACACTGAAATACCATTTCTCACCTATCACATTGCAAAAATCAAGTTTGAAGCCAGGCACAGTAGCTCACACATGTAATTCCAGCACTTTGGGAGGTCAAGGTGGGTAGATCACTTTAGGTCAGGAGTTCAAGACCAGCCTGGCCAACATGGTGAAACCCTGTCTCTACTAAAAATACAAAAATTAGCCAGGTGTGATGGTGGGTGCCTGTAATCCCAGCCAGTGGGGAGGCGGAGACAGTAGAAGTTTGAACTCGTTTGGTGGAGGTTGCAGTGAGCCGAGATTGCGCCACTGCACTCCAGCCTGGGAGACAAGAGTGAGACTCTATCTCAAAAAAAAAAAAAAAAATCAACTTTGACAAAAGACTCTGTTGGTAAAGCTGTGAGGAAACAGGCAATCTCATGCATGGCTAATGGTATTATAGAACAGTACAGTATCTATAAATGGAAATTTGGCAATATCTAGAACAATTATATACTTTTCTTTGGTCTAGCAATACCTCTTACAGGAATCTATCCCAACGATATAATGGCCAAAATGTGAAAAGATATATGCATGAAGCTCTTTACTGGCACATTCATTGTAATAGAAAAAGACTGGAAACAATCCAACTATCCATCAAAAAGGGACTGCTATGAGCTGTATGTGTATACCCAAAAAATCCTATGTTGAAGCCCTAATCCCCAATGTGATGGTATTTGGAGGTGTGACCTTTGGGAGGTAGTTAGGTTTAGATGAGATCATGAGGGTGGAGCCTCCATGATGGGACTAGTGAAGAAAGAGATGAAGAAACCAGAGCTTTCTCTCTGACAAAAGTAAGGATCCAGCAGGAAGTGGCCACCTGTGAACCAGAAGAAGGGACTCCACCAAGAACTCAACCATGCTAGCACCCTGACCTTCTAGCCTCCAGAATGACGAGAAATAAATGTTTGTTGTTTGAGCACCTCAGTCTATGGTATTCTGTCATAATAGCCTGAACTAAGACAGGGATCATTTGAATAAACTATGATACATCTACATAATAATCATCACACAGCTATAAAAGGGAATGATGCCAGGCGTGGTGGCCTACACCTGTAATTCCAACACTTTGGGAGGCCAAGCTGGGATGATCGCTTGAGGCCAGGAGTTCAAGATCAGCCTGGGTAACACAGTGAGATCCCATCTCTACAAAAAATACAAAATTTAGCTAGGTGTAGTGGTACTTGCCTATAGTTCCAGCTACTCCGGAGGCTGGGGTGGGAGGACCCCTTGAGCCCAGTAGTTTGAGGTTACAGTGAGCTATGATTGTGCCACTGCACTCCAGCTTGGGCAACAGAGGGAGATCCTGTCTCAAAAAAAAAAAAAAACAAAAAAGGGAATGTCTCTACATACTGCTATGGAGTGATCAACGAGGCATACTGTTAAATAAAAAAAGCAGGTACAGGTCTATGTATATTGCATGCTGCCTTTTATCTAAGAAAGATTTTATATATAATCTATATATATAATCTCCTTATATATAATCTCTCTATCTATATATATATGTTTATGACTTTTTTTTAGCTTTTCCGATAAGGAAACAATTTCTTTAGCAACTTTTTTTTAAAGAGAGGATAAAACACAAAAGAAATAAAATGGTTTTCTACAGGGAGAGGGAGAAGATAGTGTGGAAAAGACATGGATAGGAGTTGGATTTCTCAGCACTTTGGGAGGCTGAGGCAGGCGGATCAAGAGTTCAGGAGATCGAGACCATCCTGGCTAACACAGTGAAACCCCATCTCTACTAAAAAATACAAAAAACTAGCCAGGCATGGTGGCAGGCGCCTGTAGTCCCAGCTACTCGGGAGGCTGAGGCAGGAAAATGGAGTGAACCCGATAGGCAGAGCTTGCAGTGAGCAGAGATTGCGCCACTGCACTCCAGCCTGGGTGACGTGAGACTCCACCTAAAAAAAAAGGAAAAAAAAAAAGAAGTTGGATTTCTCAGCATATAACTTGTTTTACAGACTTTGGAACCATGTAAATATTTTACATAATTTTATAGGCAAAACTAATTTTTTAAAAAGCAACCTCTAAGTCAGGTGTGGTGGTATATGCCTGTAGTCTCAGCTACTCAGGAGGTTGAGGCAAGGAGAACTGCTTGAGGTCAGAAGTTGAAGATCAGCCTGGGCAATATAGCAAAACTCCCATCTCTAAAAAAATTAAATAAATACAGTAAAATGAAAAAAAAAAAACCAACCTCTAAAAATCAAAAGCAAAATATGTTGTTGAGTTGGTGGAATAACCTCATAGAAAAGAATTTCAAATGGTTCTTAAACCTTGCAATTTTATCATAGATCCTTATTGGTATATATCCTAAGGGAGAAAAATGCCCCCCAAAATCTTAAACTGTTTTCAGTAATTTATTTTTGGTGGTAATATTAGTATTCTGAAATTGATATATTGGGGTTTAAGCAACTAGGTAATTATATTGGTATCAGTAAGAAGAAGGACTTTTGTCAAGGGATAAAGGAGACAGAGATAAAGTTAAGTAAAAATTCTGTATTCCTGCATCTAAACTGAAAGTACTAGTATGGAGTTATGATCTCTTTTAATATTTAAAAAAACTTACATTGCCTAGCTCCATCCGCTGAAAAGCACTAGAAACAATAACAAATTCAGTATCAGGAAGCAATCTTAATATTATATGTTTTTTTACAATAGCTTTTTTTAAATGAAGTTTCACTCTTCACGCAATGGCGTGATCTCAGCTCACTGCAACCTCTGCCTCCGGGGTTCAAGCGATTCTGCTGTCTCAGCCTCCCAAGTAGCTGGGATTATAAGTGTGCACCACCATGCCTGGCTAATTTTTTAATTTTTAGTAGAGATAGGGTTTCATCATGTTGGCCAGGCTGATCTCGATTTCATCATGTTGGCCAGGCCTTGGCGTCCCAAAGTGTTGGGATTACAGGCATGAGTCATCATGCCCAGCCTTGTTTTTGAATTTCTGTACAATCAAGCTTTAAGGTCATTAGGCTGCCCAGAGAACTTACTCACTCACTGTCATTGGGTCTTAAATGCCTAAGCTTGCCAGAAACCTGACCATCCAGTAAGTGGAGTATTAGTACACATAGATAACTCACCAATTTATCCTTTTCCTCTTGGGCTTTTTCCTTTGTTTCATTTAATTGCTGTTTCAGTTTTTCAATCTGTGGAAAATCAAAATACAAGGTAGGGAAGATAGAGAAACTGCTCTATGTCTACCTTTATTAAGTGGACTAGTTTCACACAATACTAAAACCATTATGGTAAAAAAGGTGAGTGAGGCGGAAAGAGAAGAAGAGGGGACAGGAAATTTCCCATACCTTCAACCTGCTATTGCCAGTTTCTAAAACCTGGCTATCATCAGAAGTACCTGGGCAACTTTTTTTTTGTTTTTGTGGTTAAAAATAAAAGCAACATTAAATTTACCATCTTAACCATTTTAAACATATAGCTCCGTAGTGTTAAGTATATTCACGTTGTTCTGCAACAAATCTCTAGAACTTTTCATCTTACAAAACTAAAACTATACCCAATAAATCCTAATTTCCCCTTACCTCTCCCCAGCACTTGGCAACCATCCTCTACTTTGTTTCTATAATTTTGACTACTTTGGATACTTCATGAGTGGAATCATACATTATTTGCCCTCTGGTGACTGGCTTATTTCATTAAGCATAATGTCCTTGAGGTTCATTCATGTCATAGCTTGTGACAGGATTTCCTTTAAGGTGCATACTATTGCACCACATGCATACACCTTTTCCTTATCCATTCACCTATCGATGGATAATTTGGGTTGCTTCCACCTCTTGGCTATTGTGAATAGTGCTACAATGAATATGGGCGTGCAAATATCTCTTCAAGATCCTGCTCTGGGCTGGGCGGAGTGGCTCATGCCTGTAATCCCAGCAATTTGGGAGGCCGAGGTGGGTGGATTGCTTGAGCTCAGAGTTTTAGATCAGCATGGGCAACATGGCAAAATCCCATCTCTACAAAGAAATACAAACATTAGCCAGGTGTGGTGGCGAGCACCTGTAATCCCAGCTAGAGCCTGGGAGGTGAAGGTTGCAGTGGGCCAACATTACGCCACTGCACTCCACTCTGGGTGACAGAGTGAGATCCTGTCTCAACAACAACAAAAATCCTGCTTTGAATTGTTTTGGATATATTAAATATACCCAGAAGTGAGATTGGTATTTCTATTTTTAATCTTTTGAGGAACTTCCATACTGTTTTCCACAATGGCTACAACATTGTACAGTCCCACCACCAGTGCACAAGCGTTCTAACACCTCCACGTCCTTGCCAACACTTATTTTCTGTTTTTTTGGCAGTAGCCATTCTAACGGGTATGAGGTGATATCTTGTTGTAGATTTTATTTACATCTCTTATCTGGGTAACTCTTTTTTTTGAGATGGAATCTCTCTCTGTCGCCCAGGCTAGAGTGGAGTGGCACAATCTCGGCTCAGTGCAACCTCTGTCTCCCAGGTTCAAGTGGTTCTTTTACCTCAGCCTCCCGAGTAGCTGGGACTACAGGCGCATGCCACCACACCTGGCTAATTTTTGTAGTTTTAGTAGAGACAAGGTTTCATCATATGGCCAGGCTGGTCTTGAACTCCTGACCTTGTGATCTGCCTGCCTTGCCCTCCCAAAGTGCTAGGATTACAGGCGTGAGCCACTGTGCCCAGCCTTATCTGGGTAACTTTTTCAGAAAAAAGTTTCTTTTTACTTTCTTTTGTTTTTTTTTTTTTGGTAGGTATATTATAGTACCTAAGTGAAATGGAC